CCCCTCCGCCCTCCGCCCCTCTCTCCCCCCTGCGTCATGGCGCAGCCGAGAGCAAATGGCCTGTAAAAGCTTACGAGCCAACCCGTTAAATGCATAGCGCCAACTAAATCTCACTAGGATGTGGCACAACGAATCCTTACTATCGGAACAGAGCTCTGTATATCTATATATATATATGTACGATATATACATAATACAAGTGTTGCACAGCAGGTTGCCATGGGAAACGTGGTCTGTTCGACTGAAAGGGGGAAAAAAAAAACATCATTTCCACAGGCAACACGTAGCTCTGATTTCCAAGGAGCATCCCGATTGGAAGGTTATATTTTCTGTATGGCGTTAAAGAAAAAAGAGAAAAAAGTCTATGGAAAAAAAAATATCCAAAAGATCGTGCATTGAAGTCACGTATCTTATTTGGATGCTGGGTACACATCTGGTAGAGTCGTTATCTTTGAAATCGGGGGTGGGGCGGTTAAAGAGATCGTAGGGTTGTCTTAGCTTTTTTACGTCATTTTATTGCTCGAGCGAGTACGAGAGAGTCTTTGGGTTGAATTTTTGAGGTTATTTTTTTTCGGCGGGAAAATTTAAACTGTCGCGTTACGATTTGTCGCGATCGAGTCTGTTAATATGAACTTTATGAACGCATGTATGTACCGGGTGTTATATATATATATATATATATATATATGATATGTGCCTGTACGTATATGGGGATTTATAGTACAGGATTTTCGAATCGCCTCGTCACATCCTCACAATAAATCACGAGACACGTCGCACTGCACCTCGCCGATTCCATTGTACGATAATGCATAATGTATGGCCGGCAATTACCCAGTCGAGCGATTTAATGTAAATGGCAATATCTTGGCGAAATATGGGGACCGCATAGCCGCACGTGTTTCTCCTTGGATCTGCCTGAGCAGCGGAGCTTAGATATTTCGCAATGATAATACATCGAGAATCGCCGTATGTACGTTTGTCCGTATTCGACGGCATTGACGATACGGTTAGGAATTGAAGTTCGTAGGTCCGCCATTCTTTTTTTTTAAGACTGCGCAATCGTCGTATAAGGAAATCAAATCGTTTGACGCAGGTCGGCTGACGATCGTGGGCACGGTTGGAAGACAGAGGATGCACTTTTTTTTTCATATTCGTATACCTGACGCGAGTGCGAGAGAGACAGAGCCATGGGAACTTACACGTGTAAGACAAGGATGGACACAGTGCCGACAATCGTACAATCGTTTCTTGATTATAATAATTTAGGACACATCTTTTTTACTTATCCGAATAATCGGAGTATACTGGCACTGTATGCTTTGTTTTTCGTGAATTTTCAAAATATTGTATTTTTTTTTCTTTTGCAAAAAATACAACTTTTTACATTCGAGGTTTTTTTCTTTTCTGTTACAGTAAGATTGCACGACAGTATACAGGAGGAAAGCTTCCACTACCTCGTATTCGATTTGTAAGTATTTCTACGTTCGATTCACATCTCGTGGATGTTTTTAAATAATTCTTTTTGTTTTTCATTGATAAAGATTTTTTTTTCTTTTTTTTTATATATATATATATTGACGCCCACTGATATTCCATATCCACAGCTTTTACCGTATTATCCACATAGTACGCATATTCTGTTTCGTATACCAAGGCACTGGACCAATCGGCATCACGATAGATTAGATGGATAGTCCGATGGTTGAATCTATTCAACTTTTTTTTTTTTTTTTTTTTACTTAACCCCTCCCTTTTTTGGTATTCCCATCAAGACTCGCGGACAAAAGCGGAAGAGTGAAAGTAGCCATTCAGTGCCAGACGTCTCTCCTCTGCCATAGGCGGGAGGAGAAGGAGGCAGGCATTTCAGTCTCCTTCGTTTCTATTTTTTTTTTTTTTTCATAGTTTTTTCCCTTTGCGTCACTCTTTCTTTCTTTTTTTTTTCTTTTTCAATAATACTTTTTACACGCGCCTAATTAAATTTATATGCTCTATGGCCATTGTGTCCGACAGCGTCGACTGTCATTACCGATTCTTAACGTGGCATTTTGCTCGCTACCTATACACTTACTGCAGTTGAATGTACTGTATTGTATCATTATTATTATACACCTATATAACGATATAATATACTCATTAATCGCACTATATATATATACACCGATCTTTCATAGGTTTTGCGAGAATCGCACAGCTATATGCGATCACCTAAGAATATTTTTTTTTTTCAATTTTAATTTTGGAATTTTTCTCCCAAAAAATTTTTTTTCACCCATATCCTCACAATTATCCCATTACCTGCATTTTCTTCCCTTCTCCATATACACTTGTCTGCCGCTACTTTGTTCCGGCAACAAAGCCGTTCGTTGGCTCTTCTCCAAGTCACAGCGGATAAGAGCCGCCAGACTTTATATTTTGTGGGAAGGGGTGG